TATATATATATATATATATATTACTATATTATACACTTACAGCAATACGACATAAATAAAAAAAGAGCAAAATGGACTTTAAAGTTTGGAACTGGTCGTGAGTTATAATTCTCGAAAGGGAATCACAAATCCCCCGAGTTTATTACTTACTAATTAGAAAATGGAACGAAAGCATGTATACATGCATGACTATTGTGTTTCCAAAATGTTTGTTTGCTATTAACAATAATTAATATTATTTTGACTGTAAGTAAAACTCGTCGCTATTTCATGCGATTCAGAACCAAGTCTGTTGTGACTATGAGGGCCTTTTGGAAGGCACTTTCCGCTATAATGCTGGCTATCCTGGCGGCCTCTTGGCAGTGTTGTTTTGCTAGATACTGAGTTTGTTCTAAACCGTTCGATTTGTGAACGAATTCGAACGCCTTTTCTACGTCACCCGGTTCTTGGAACCGACGCATTATCATTGCATTTAGTTCCGGAAACTAAAATTGGTTTTCCCTTATAATTTGCATGATTAAATGATAAATGTTGATGAGAAATTGATAAACACTTAATAGTTCAACACATTAAAATGGAATTAATACAGATAACCTGAAATTTTATGAGAAAAAATTGTTGCTGCTGTCACGCTCTCGTCGGGAATCGAACCCGGGTACGCACTACTCATACTACCGCTAAGCTGCGAGAGGTAACAGTAGTAACAACGACGATACATACTACTAATACGTAGATCACAGAATCGTCGAACCAACAACAAAGAGACATTTAGAAGAAATGAAAAAGTGACTTAAGAGAAAATAATTATAAAAAGTTTACCTTTTCACAAGCAAAAAGAACAGGTGCTGTGGCTAGTCCGAGCTTTAAGTCTGCAGCCGTTGGTTTTCCCGTTTGGGCAGATGACGACACAAAATCCAAAAGATCGTCGACTAATTGAAAAGCTAAACCCAAATTTCGTCCATACTGAAAGGCGAGATCAGCCAATTCTGCGTCTGCTCCACTCAAAAGTGCCACCTAAGTGTAACGGAATAAAGTAGGATGCACTTGTACGAATTAACACCTTTGTAACTATTTATATTGTCTCTATCGTTATGGATGATAAACCAGAAGAAAAGGTATTAGAAAAAGTAGGAGAACAGAGGTCGTTATGGAACATAATAAGAAATAGGCGAGATAGGATGGTCCGATAGCTTCTCAGACAAGAAGGGCTAATTAAAGGCATATTAGGAGCATATCTATATGACTTTTTGTCAACTTCAGTTGGGGAAAAAATAGGGAAGAATGGAATCTACGTATTAGAATGAATAGGGCATGATGGAAGTCGATAAGAATTAGGCGAGATTTGTTGGTCGGACAGCTTCTCAAACATGAAGGGTTGATTAAAGGCATATTAGAAGCATATATGACTTGTGTCCACTTCAGTTGGGGAAAAATAGGGAAGAATGGGAATAGGGTATTATGGAAGTCGGTAAGAATTAGGTGAGATTTGTTAGTCGGACAGCTTCTCAAACATGACGGACTAATCAAAGAATATTTGGCTTTTTGTCCACTTCAGTTGGGGAAAAATAGGGAAGAATGGAATCTACGTATTAGAATAAAGAGGGGATGATGGAAGTAGATAAGAATTGTTGGTCGGACAGCTTCAGTTAAATACGTATTAGAAGCAAATAAATGAGTTAAGAGAGATATAGGTAGACCTAGATTAGATTACTGTTCGCAAATAGTTAAAGATGGAAGTTGATCGAGTTTTCGGGAAATGTGAAGATTGGCTCAAGAAAGGAAGAAGTAAAGGTGCGTGTCCAACCAGTCTTCGGGTTGAAGATGTGATGATGGTGGTGATATGTATGGTGTATGGAGATATTGTATACTCTGAGTAAATAAAATCATATAGTTTAGTTTCGTTTTTCGATTTGAGAGATTCTTGCAGATTATCTCATTGTCGAGTTTCTCGTTTTACGAATTGTGGTGTCAATGCTGCTGCATTTTTATTTTATATTTTGTCAAAACGAAGACAACACCTATCGATTGTGTACATCCAATTAAACATGTAACTTCCATGAAAACTGTTGCACGTAAAAAATGTGACAGAAATCGAAGTTGAACGCTAAGAGTAGGGTGAAAGTAATAAGAACAAGAGGGTGGTCAATGTTGACGGGATAACTACCGAAATTTTGCTTCAATCGTGTTCTTATGGATATTCTGTTTTGCTAAATTAATTTTGTGTTCTTGTGCCAATTAGTTCTCTGAACAAAAGTACGTTAAGTAACATACATAAAGACTTACAGATTTGACCGAGTTGGCCATGAGAGACGCAGTTTTTCTATAGGTCTTGGTGAGGTAGTGAGCGAATCTTTCGTTTTCCGTTTCTTTCGAACCCAACTGCATGAATTCGCCTTGAACTAAATCCGTCACGACCTGTAATCAGATTAAAAGGAAAAGAGATATTTACCACCTGAGTAGAGTTACCGCAGCTCCTGAAAACCTTTGATAAAAATATTCTAATCTTCGATCAGACTTATAAAGTCTGTTACAATTACTGTGCAAATAATAATAGGGTATAGAATTTACAATACAAACTGTTCATTAAGTAGTTTGAATTTAAATTTGAACGACATTGGCTAGCTACATGAAACTCCATCTCATTAGTCGAATTTAATTCATTTATGTTGACGAAAATAAGAAGAAAATAACATTTTTGTTCTTTATATTGAAACGTAATCCAATAAGTTCGAAAGTGTCTCTCTTAAAAAATTTTGAAAATAATTCAATTCAAACGTTTGTTTTTAAAGGTTTTCTATCGATAATTTCTATTATACTATAACGTAGTTTCGGGCGGTCCCTGAATATGTAAGGAAACTAAAAGGAGACGTAGGATTTTCATTCGTTTTAAAGGATTGTTCATTTTTTAATCCATGCAATATTTTTTACTTGTAGGTATAAGCTAAATTCACTGCTTAAATCTGAGTATTATTTCATTACAGAAAGATAGCACTTACGGTTTCATAATGCAAACTAGTCAAGCTAAAGTAACAGGGAGTTTTTCGTGAAAAACAATTTTCTTATAGTGTTTAAACTGTAGTTCATCAAGTAACGTAAAGATGTTAACCTGAAGACGCAAAATTCTCCTGTGTATGAATTAAATGTTGACTTTTGTTCATTAAAATAGCAATACATAATAATAATTTACGTATAACATGTTTTACGAATACAGCAATAATCATAATAATAATAATAATGAAAACAGTTATTATTATTATTATGGAAGACCGACTTGTTGGTCATGGTAACACTGATTATTTCATAATATATATACATAACATACAATTCGAATATAAATACACTTAACACGGTATGACTTGGACATAAAAATATAAAAAGCAAAAATTAATTATTTAACACGAGCATAACATCCTGGTTAAGTCGAAAAAAAGGTAACTTCAGAAAAAAAAAAGATTAACTACAAGCAGTCAAAAAATGATTTTCTTTCTATCAATTTTTGCAAAATGGTAACAGAAAAGTTATAATTAGGATAACAAATTACAGTAAGCACTGTAACAATTAGATAAGGGTATTTTACTAGCAGTATCCTAACATATATTTATATATATATATATATATATTACTATATTATACACTTACAGCAATACGACATAAATAAAAAAAGAGCAAAATGGACTTTAAAGTTTGGAACTGGTCGTGAGTTATAATTCTCGAAAGGGAATCACAAATCCCCCGAGTTTATTACTTACTAATTAGAAAATGGAACGAAAGCATGTATACATGCATGACTATTGTGTTTCCAAAATGTTTGTTTGCTATTAACAATAATTAATATTATTTTGACTGTAAGTAAAACTCGTCGCTATTTCATGCGATTCAGAACCAAGTCTGTTGTGACTATGAGGGCCTTTTGGAAGGCACTTTCCGCTATAATGCTGGCTATCCTGGCGGCCTCTTGGCAGTGTTGTTTTGCTAGATACTGAGTTTGTTCTAAACCGTTCGATTTGTGAACGAATTCGAACGCCTTTTCTACGTCACCCGGTTCTTGGAACCGACGCATTATCATTGCATTTAGTTCCGGAAACTAAAATTGGTTTTCCCTTATAATTTGCATGATTAAATGATAAATGTTGATGAGAAATTGATAAACACTTAATAGTTCAACACATTAAAATGGAATTAATACAGATAACCTGAAATTTTATGAGAAAAAATTGTTGCTGCTGTCACGCTCTCGTCGGGAATCGAACCCGGGTACGCACTACTCATACTACCGCTAAGCTGCGAGAGGTAACAGTAGTAACAACGACGATACATACTACTAATACGTAGATCACAGAATCGTCGAACCAACAACAAAGAGACATTTAGAAGAAATGAAAAAGTGACTTAAGAGAAAATAATTATAAAAAGTTTACCTTTTCACAAGCAAAAAGAACAGGTGCTGTGGCTAGTCCGAGCTTTAAGTCTGCAGCCGTTGGTTTTCCCGTTTGGGCAGATGACGACACAAAATCCAAAAGATCGTCGACTAATTGAAAAGCTAAACCCAAATTTCGTCCATACTGAAAGGCGAGATCAGCCAATTCTGCGTCTGCTCCACTCAAAAGTGCCACCTAAGTGTAACGGAATAAAGTAGGATGCACTTGTACGAATTAACACCTTTGTAACTATTTATATTGTCTCTATCGTTATGGATGATAAACCAGAAGAAAAGGTATTAGAAAAAGTAGGAGAACAGAGGTCGTTATGGAACATAATAAGAAATAGGCGAGATAGGATGGTCCGATAGCTTCTCAGACAAGAAGGGCTAATTAAAGGCATATTAGGAGCATATCTATATGACTTTTTGTCAACTTCAGTTGGGGAAAAAATAGGGAAGAATGGAATCTACGTATTAGAATGAATAGGGCATGATGGAAGTCGATAAGAATTAGGCGAGATTTGTTGGTCGGACAGCTTCTCAAACATGAAGGGTTGATTAAAGGCATATTAGAAGCATATATGACTTGTGTCCACTTCAGTTGGGGAAAAATAGGGAAGAATGGGAATAGGGTATTATGGAAGTCGGTAAGAATTAGGTGAGATTTGTTAGTCGGACAGCTTCTCAAACATGACGGACTAATCAAAGAATATTTGGCTTTTTGTCCACTTCAGTTGGGGAAAAATAGGGAAGAATGGAATCTACGTATTAGAATAAAGAGGGGATGATGGAAGTAGATAAGAATTGTTGGTCGGACAGCTTCAGTTAAATACGTATTAGAAGCAAATAAATGAGTTAAGAGAGATATAGGTAGACCTAGATTAGATTACTGTTCGCAAATAGTTAAAGATGGAAGTTGATCGAGTTTTCGGGAAATGTGAAGATTGGCTCAAGAAAGGAAGAAGTAAAGGTGCGTGTCCAACCAGTCTTCGGGTTGAAGATGTGATGATGGTGGTGATATGTATGGTGTATGGAGATATTGTATACTCTGAGTAAATAAAATCATATAGTTTAGTTTCGTTTTTCGATTTGAGAGATTCTTGCAGATTATCTCATTGTCGAGTTTCTCGTTTTACGAATTGTGGTGTCAATGCTGCTGCATTTTTATTTTATATTTTGTCAAAACGAAGACAACACCTATCGATTGTGTACATCCAATTAAACATGTAACTTCCATGAAAACTGTTGCACGTAAAAAATGTGACAGAAATCGAAGTTGAACGCTAAGAGTAGGGTGAAAGTAATAAGAACAAGAGGGTGGTCAATGTTGACGGGATAACTACCGAAATTTTGCTTCAATCGTGTTCTTATGGATATTCTGTTTTGCTAAATTAATTTTGTGTTCTTGTGCCAATTAGTTCTCTGAACAAAAGTACGTTAAGTAACATACATAAAGACTTACAGATTTGACCGAGTTGGCCATGAGAGACGCAGTTTTTCTATAGGTCTTGGTGAGGTAGTGAGCGAATCTTTCGTTTTCCGTTTCTTTCGAACCCAACTGCATGAATTCGCCTTGAACTAAATCCGTCACGACCTGTAATCAGATTAAAAGGAAAAGAGATATTTACCACCTGAGTAGAGTTACCGCAGCTCCTGAAAACCTTTGATAAAAATATTCTAATCTTCGATCAGACTTATAAAGTCTGTTACAATTACTGTGCAAATAATAATAGGGTATAGAATTTACAATACAAACTGTTCATTAAGTAGTTTGAATTTAAATTTGAACGACATTGGCTAGCTACATGAAACTCCATCTCATTAGTCGAATTTAATTCATTTATGTTGACGAAAATAAGAAGAAAATAACATTTTTGTTCTTTATATTGAAACGTAATCCAATAAGTTCGAAAGTGTCTCTCTTAAAAAATTTTGAAAATAATTCAATTCAAACGTTTGTTTTTAAAGGTTTTCTATCGATAATTTCTATTATACTATAACGTAGTTTCGGGCGGTCCCTGAATATGTAAGGAAACTAAAAGGAGACGTAGGATTTTCATTCGTTTTAAAGGATTGTTCATTTTTTAATCCATGCAATATTTTTTACTTGTAGGTATAAGCTAAATTCACTGCTTAAATCTGAGTATTATTTCATTACAGAAAGATAGCACTTACGGTTTCATAATGCAAACTAGTCAAGCTAAAGTAACAGGGAGTTTTTCGTGAAAAACAATTTTCTTATAGTGTTTAAACTGTAGTTCATCAAGTAACGTAAAGATGTTAACCTGAAGACGCAAAATTCTCATATGAATGAATTAAATGTTGACTTTTGTTCATTAAAATAGCAATACATAATAATAATTAACGTGATACAAGATCTACGACTAGGAAAATAAATTATAACATAAAGTGTGACTGACCTGACTTAAAATTAAAGTGACGTCGTCGTTTTTTAATCTTGCTATCATCATAGACGCTACTGCTAAGATAAAGTCCCCTGCCATGGTAACCTGAAACAAAAAAATTCTTATTATTAATGTTCATATATTTGAATTTCGTCATTAGAGGATAGCAGACATCCATAAGTGTAATTAATTTGAATAAAACTATTGACTTCGTTAATTTTTATTCTGTTAAATGTTAAATTATTAGAATACCAAATTTTGACCATAAATAATGTATCATTTCTTATAAATATTGAGAAAAAATTAATATTAATTAAATAAAACTCCCAATTGTCTTATTATTCATCGGAATCATAAGGTCGTCAATCTTAAGACTGATTGGACACGTACCTCCACTCTTTCCTATCCTGAACTAATCACCCACGTTCTTAATTATTTCTGAGCAGTGATCTATCTCTACTCATGTTAACTCCTGTTTCTGCTTCCGATCTGTTCCTCATTATGTAGGAAACGTAGCAACTAGCAAGTGATGAAGCCTTTCGCTTCGGTTGTACTGAAAATGGAAGGACTGTACCGATCGTGAGACATTTTCAGTACAACAGCAGCGAAGGATGTTGTTCCGTCATTATATCTTCTGGGAATGCCAATCTGACGAAACGTCGGTTAAACGATTTATTAAACAATATTCTAGTTTTACATATGCGTCATCGAAGAATCTATACCTTTTATCAAAAAGGGGATGATTAAGAGAGGAAATGTATGGAAAATTCGGAGAAAGCAAATGAGAAATTGAAACGATTAAATATTCGAAAGGTTAAGATTTGGAGAAGTCAATATGGAAAGAAAATGATTGAAGAAAGCAAAGAACATGTGACAAACCAAGAATAGGTTGAAAGATGGTGAAGCAATATGAATATGCTAGAATACTTAAAGAAAGAAAAATTAAGCAAGTTAGGGATAATAGTAATGTTTATACTTTTCAAATTGTAAAAAGTAATCCTTAAAGTTCGACCGAAAGTTATCGTTTATTTATATAATACAGTACATATGTACGTAGTAGGTATCGTATGACTTCTAATTGCTTGAATTTATATGCGCCAAATAATTATCATAAACGCATGGCTTTCACTGGAGAGAGTTAACGAAAAGAACAAATTCCGATGTCCGTTTTCAGTGATTTTCTTGATATAAAAATAAAAAGAAATTGGAACATATTGTTCTTGCAAAAATTTTATTTTTTTTTACAAAACAATTATGTATTAAAAATTGGTTGGTCTTATTTTATGCCTATTTCCCACTATATTAGAATTTCTAGTAAGCCATCAAATCGTAAAACTAAAAACCATACATTAGTATTCTTTTTATTTATAACGGAATGGATATTTGATGATAATTGATAATTCGAAAATAATAAACGTAAAAAATAAAGGCCACTGTCTAAACATTCCTGATACAATGTAGGTATAAATAGAAAATTATTACGTTTTAGATCCAGTATTTGTTTATTTAATTATTTAATGATATTAATTTTTAAATGATATTACATAATTTTCCCACCGTAAATGTAAGTTTTACTCCAAAGAATACAGCAGTGGTTTAAGTTAATTTAACATGTATTTTCGTTATTTTAAACATTCAATGAAAAATGTTTGAATTTATGTTTATGAATAAATTTTGAATTACTAATGCGGGTCATAATTTAATTTTTTTTTATTTCCATTCAATATTTTTTAGAATCTACTAACATGAATATTTTAAATAAAAATTTCAAACTGACTTGACATTTTATAGTTAACTAACGGTTCTTTTAACAGTTATCTGCTAAATTATTTATAGAAAAAGCTTACTATTATAGTAACAGATACAAACATATTTCAAATTACTTATTACAGCCAGACAGCTATATATAAAAATTAATGTCGTATTGAAAGCAAATTTGCAGATGATATAACAGTATTAGCATCTAGCAAGGAGGAGTTATAGGTATTTAGGAAGTCGGATAAGTCAGGACGGAATGAGTACTAAGGATATAAAGTAAAGGATACCACAGGGTTGAATAATTAATAAAAAGAAGTCCCTACTATGCTCGGATGCGAAACATGGACGGCGGGCGCGGTGAAAAAGAAAAGGTTAGAAGCGTTCGAAATGTGGTGTTACTGGCGAATGATGAGGATACCGTGGATGGAGAAGATCAAAAATGAAATGGTATTAGAAATAATAGAAGAACAGAGGACTCTATGGAAGACAATAAGAAATAGGTGAAATAGGTTGGTAAGACACCTTTTTAGGTATGGTCTACTCAGAGACATATTAAAGGCAGAAACTTGTGTCAATAAGAGTAGATGTAGACCTAGATTATATTATTGTTCGCAAATAGCTAAGGATGTGGGTTGTTCTAGTTTTTGGGGAAATGCGAAGATTAGGTGAGGATAGGATAGAGTGGACGTGCGTGTCCAACCAGTCTTAGGACTGACGACCTTATAATGATGATGTTTGAAAGCAAAATTTTAGACGTTTTGTCCCCGCGAGTGCAGACTAATGGTGAAAAAGATGTTTGTTCGCTAACAAACATAAATTCCCAGCTGTAACGTCTATTAACTGAGTGACGCTGATGAAAAAGGAAATGGAATAATTGAAGCATAGAGATTCACCGGATGGTGATTTTGCCGTGGACCGGATAACCGTATACCTGGCATTAGATGTGCCGAGTACTGCCTGGATCCTCGGCAAAACCACTATGGTTAATGGTTCGTATCTCCTTTTTAAAACTTAAAAAAAAAACTTTTGGGTGTTTCATTCCCACCAGCCAGTAATGCTGGTAGGCGGGCAGTCCCTCCGGACTATGCCGGAAGGTAGGGCGGAAGGCCCTCTTTAGCCTGCTTTCAGGAATCGTGGGAATGGGTGGGTGGTGGTTCGGGTGAGAAAGTTGAGACGGACGAAATCAAGACAGAAGAGAGTGAAAGATTATCTGTGGAATATTACTGCCTCAGCATTTGCCCAGGTGATCCAAGGAAACCACAGAAAAACTTGGACCAAGGCAAACGGATCCGGAATCGAACCGGCGTCCTCCCGAATGCTAAGCAATAATCTAAACCTCTAGACCATGCCGCTCGGTTCTCCTTTTTGGCCAGCTTTCTGTTAAATACCACTCTCACCAAAGTCCTTAAGCACGTTAAATCCCGTTCAAAAAGTCGTTAAAACACTAAACCAATGAAATTTTAATTCTTGTTTGGCGGATTTTCAACGAGAGGGTTGAATTGATGCTGTTGAAATAATGTTCATAAACACAAGTCTGCAAGGAGATCAAATCATACTAAGAAGTTATTGTTTATCCACACTTGATATACCAACAAGCGACAGAAATTGCAACAGTTGGGCCATACTGATGTATTCTTGTTCTTGAGGAAAAGTAAACACAAGAACTAAATAACAAATAATTTAGTATAGTACCTAATCAATAAATAATACAAATTAGGACACACGACTTATCTTAATACAATCTTAATTCCAATTTTTATTAAGCAAGCTTTTGTTTTACTAATTAAATGTTACTATTTATTGTTGATGATTCTTTGGTAGAATTACCTGGCAACAATTGGCTATTTAAATATACTGACGTATAAAAACCGACTTCAATACTTTGCCTATATACTCAAAATTAAGCTAAAAAGTTAACAAATCTAAACCGAATCGCTTTTGAGATGTAGCCTCTATTCAACTAGAAAGATCAGATGGAAATGACGAGTTTGCTTCTCTCTTAAATTAGATTTCTGATCATCCCTCAATTTTCCACCCTTACAAATGGAATCTTTTTTAAATTTAAGAGAGATCACCCTTGAGATATACGTAACAAACACACAAGAAACATACAGTCGAATTGAGAGTCCTTTTTTTGAAGTCGATTAAAAATGTGTGGAGAAAATTATTCGCCGAAGTATATAATCTGCATCAAAAATTACGTCAGATTCTGTAGACTTAAAATTATAAGGTTGTTCGGAAAGTCATTTCGTTTTTTCCCGACAGAGGATTTAATTGTATCCTTTTGCACCCAACTTCACATTTAAGCCGTATAATTTTTATATGCTTTGAGAGCTCATATAGCAAGGCTTGTGTGTGAAAAATTCCAATTAATTTTACGCAGTAGTTTTTGGTTGGTGCCCTTTTAAATATGGAGAGCGATAAGCAGCATTTTCGACATATCTTACTGTTTTACTACAGAAAGGGTAAAAATGCTGTTCAAGCCAGAAAGAAATTGACTGATGTGTATGGAGAAGGTGTGTTGACAGTACGCCAGTGCCAGAACTGGTTCGCTAAATTTCGATCCGGCAATTTTGATGTCGAAGATGCACCACGTTCGGGAAGGCCGGTTGAAGCTGATAAAGACGCGATAAAGGCATTAGTTGATGTGAACCGGCGAATAACAACACGTGAGATCGGATTGAGGTTAAATTTATCAAATTCAACAGTTTATGACCACTTCAAAGGTCTGGGATTATCCTCGAAGCTCGATGTATGGGTTCCCCATGTTCTCACAGAGAGAAATCTGTGTCGCTGCATTGACGTCTGCGATTCGCTTCTCAAACGTCACGAAAATGATCCGTTTTTGAAGCGCATCATCACTGGGGACGAAAAATGGGTTGTATACAACAACGTCAAACGCAAGAGGTCATGGAGCAAAAAAGATGAACCGGCTCAAACCATTTGCAAAACCGATATTCACCAAAAAAAGGTGATGCTTTCTGTTTGGTGGGATTTTAAAGAAATCGTTTTTTTTGAGCTTTTACCGGATAACACAACGATTAATTCGGAAGTCTACTGTCATCAGCTGGACAAACTGAATGATGCACTTCAACAGAAAAGGTCAGAACTAGTCAACAGGAAAGGTGTAGTGTTTCACCAAGACAACGCGAGACCTCACACAAGTTTGGTCACTCGCCAAAAGCTTTTACAGCTTGAATGGGATACAATGCTACACCCACCATATTCTCCAGACCTGGCACCATCGGATTATTATTTGTTTCGGTCACTCCAAACTTTTTTAGACGGTAAAACCTTCACCTCAAATGAGGAGGTCGAAAACCTCCTCTATCAGTTTTTTGTCAGCA